ATCTGGTTGGCTTTCTGGGCTGCAATCTGCTTAGTTTGTCCACTGTATTGCCCACATAGGCCTACTTAGTTCCACATGATTTAAAAAGACAGTTTAGAAGAGACAGTACCTACAGACTTCATAAACTTAACAAAATAATGGAACACAGAATTTACCTTTCCTGCATTAGTGTAGGCATACTCTTTTTTTCCCTAATATTGTCCCAAAAGGTAACACAAGTGTTGGGTTGCTGACCTCTGTCATGAAGTTACACCAGGACCATTAGCTGTCTTTTTCTGTTGCTGCTGTGGTTTGTTTTGGATTTTTTTTTTTTTTTTGGTGGTTGTTGGTAGAGACATCATTCTAACTCTTTTAAACTTTTGCATTTTTGGAATGGAGAGATAGCAGCATGTAGTTGCTTTGTTTCACTGTTTACTAGAGTGTGGTCTTCCACATCGTACTCCAAAACCAAAGCTTTAATTGAAAAGGATTAAGGTTGGAGGAGTGATGCTGCCTGCTACAAGTCCTGAAGAAAAGGAAATAACAAGTTTTTATATTCTTTCTAAACCAGAACCAAATACATTTATAGTTATGTTTTCACAAGCAATGAAAGAATTCTTAGTTTCAAAAACATCTCCTTCTGCATCTGAAAGATGTTGTAAAGCTGTATTTGTGTCTCTCTAAGACACTACAATGCAATAGCATATCAGAAATATTAGTTAGTGCTCAGTGTTGGCAAGTTTGTACTGCTTTGTGTGATTGAGCCTCGTCCCTTATTGATTCCTTCGTCTGCTTTCATGATGTTTCTAGGATTTCTTGCTGAAAAAAGAATATAAAGCCCTGGAGTATAATCTAACAACCACTGGGGTTGAGCTGGACAAAGTAACAGCTTTTTGGGATGAGGTTAGTACTTTTAAACAAACTAAATTAAACCACAGAGTGTATCTTTTTTACCAGTATTTGCCTTGATGTTCTCTAAAAAGAGCAGCCTACACTCCATTTTAACTGGCTTCAGCTATCAGCAGACAAGAAATGCATGGCAAGTCATTAATGCATGATATCAAATTATCCACGGTTGAAGTGCTTTGGAAGAGATCCTTTAATAAGCGTTAAGGCTTGTAATAAGTAGCTATTTCTGATTTAAGCCAGCCTGGAAATAGAATCAGGCTGTAGCATGTATGATCACTGGAGAGCAGTTCTAGAATAGGCAAATTTTGTTTGGGTCCACAAGTTCAGGAGCAAGTCCAATACATACATTAAGGGCATTTATATTTATTAATATAATAAATATTTTATATATATATAAATGTAACATCAGAAAAGTAAACTCCTATGTGTTTATAAGTCCATAGCATGGTATACATTTGCATATGCATGTTTTATTTATTTTTTATGTCCATACGAATCCACATCTGTGTGTGTTGCAGGGAATTGGAGAGCTGTTTGTAAAAGCAAACCAGGAAAACAACAACAGCAAAGCTCCTAGCACTGGCAACAATCTCTTCTTCAGCAATTTTCCCCTTCATGCCTCACCTGTTCTTCAGGATATAAATTTCAAGATTGAGAAGGGAGAGTTATTAGCTGTTTCTGGATCTACTGGAGCAGGCAAGGTATTTCGATTTCTGTTGTTCCAACAAAAGTCCTAATAATTTTAAGGAATAATATTGTGGTGTTATCTCTATTGTTACTTGTACTGGTACTGTGTTCTTGCTGTTCATGCTGTAAAAATGATGGCTGCAGGACAAATTATGAATAAACTATAAGTTTCAAGAAAATGGCCAGCAGTTCCTTGAAGTTTTACTCTGCAGCCAATATGAGAAAGAATTTGATGGATATTTTTTGTATGTACAAGGATACAGACTTAATAAGGAAATAGCACTTTAAATTACAAACCTATTTTCTGCAGGAAGTAAAAGGAGATTTGCAGGAATAATGTGGACTCAAACCTAAGGTTAATGTTCACAGTGAGAATCTCTCTGCCTTTAAAATGATAAACTGGAGAACATAACATAGATATCCAGATAGCTCAGTGTGCTAGAAAGCAGATTTTTTTTTTTCCTTTTTCCTGCCTTGTTAACATTTTAAGGAAACATTTGAACACGAGATGGTCTGTAACCTAAGAGACCTGACATGGATTAGCCAGGTAACTAAGATGTGTGCCCTGGACATGTTGTATTCCTGGCCGCTTGTGCTCCAGTTCCTACAGTGCCCCACTGAGTCCCATGGGGAAGCCTGGGGAGATGCTGCTGAAGCTGGTGGATTTCTGAGAAAAGTTGTGACTTAGATTAATCATTGTAGAACCCCAAAATGTTGTCAGTATATTTAGCTTGCAGATAACACATCTGATTAACCTCATTAATATGAAATGAGTTGAACTGTGATATTCATATTCACTTTGAACAGCAAATAGTTAGATGAGTCTTTCATCCTCACTGGTTTTTTTTTCTGAGGAGATGTGAAAGTCAAACCATACATTTATTATGTGTTTGGCAACTTTCTCTTTTTAACAGATTATGGGTGAACATATTCTGATTTCTTTTACTTGCAAGGGGTTAATTTTTTGGTCTGTTGGAATCAATGGCAGAGGACCCATCAATTTCAATAAAATCAAGGCTTCTATATTATTTTTCAACAGTGGTACCAATAGGAAAGACCAAGGGACTCAGTACACGTAGTTGTTGTCAAGCAGATATGTTGGGGTGCATTTTACTGTGGTACTTCTGAATTAACAGAATAGTTTTCCTATGCTGCTGATAACCTCAGATAGCTACCGGTAAAGCTGATACTTGTAATACAAAAAATGTCAATTAATGCTGAGGGATGTATGCATATCTCCTTTGTTCAGCTACTTAGGAAACAGAGGAAAATTCGTATTACACTAAGCAGTTTATATGAGTATAGGCAAACAATAAATATGCACTTTTCAAAGTAATAAAGATAACAGGCTTAGAATATTACCTGAAAGATTTGCAAAAAATAAAGTTCGACTCCCTCACCCCCCCCAAAAAAAAGTCTCCTTCCCTTACAACCTCTTAATTTAAGGTTTTCTTGATGTTGTTTGAGGCTGTTACTGTACATTCCAGGAACTGTCAGACCTGTGAACCAGCCTGCACACTTATTTTATCTATTACAGGTATTTTATCTATTCACAGGTATGACATCAGCTCTTTAATACTGCTTTGATATTAGATAGGGTTTGTTTTGGGTTTTTTTTTGGTTTCTTTTCCATTTATGTTACATGGCACAAGATACAGTAGTTTAACTTCCAGTGTGCAAAACTTACTAAGCAGCTGTGTTTTGCAAGATCAGAAACTGCTTACTCAGCGTTCTGGAAAAGTAAGATTCTGGGATAATGGAAAGAGTCTCTTGGGACTCCCCCCACATATTGTACAATTTGTCAAAGGATCTCTGGGTTTGACAGCATGAAACTGTGACTTAGACAGATTTTTTAGGTCTTTGGCTGTTACGTCCCAGCTTTGTTGACTGTTTATTAGTGATAAGAGCACCGCTGGAATGGCTCTGTAACATATTTTTCCTTGTATTTCTCAATTCTATTCTTTGATCTAGTAGCCAGTGATGTGTGACAAGGTTACTACAAGCTACTGATTAACTTTGAAATTATAACATGTCAGTAGTGAAATTGCAATCAATTCTTTTATGAAGGGAAATAGTAAATATACTTAGGTCATGTATTCACGTAAATGAGTTAACAGTTACAGAGGAAAATTCAGATCACAGTATGTGAGTAATTGTATACGCATACACAAAGAAATAACATTTTTCAAGACAATACAGATAAAAGGCTTATGAATACTAGCAAAATTGTAAACACGAATTGTGTTGTACAAGGAACAAAGTAGTCACTAATAATGTTAAAAATCAAATAACATTCTCCATGAATACTAATACCTTATGTCTGTATGTGTCTCACAGATACTCACATTTTTACCTTGGAAAATTACTGGAAGTTTAATATTAAAACACATACTTTTGCAGCAGGATGCCTTTTTTACAAGGTATCTTACACAACTGTTGTCTTTTGTTGAATGAAGTTTCTGTCATTTCAGAGGCCTTTCAGAACTATAATTATCATAAAAATCTCCACTAATTACAGCTTGCACTAGATTAGTACTTACAGGGACATTCTTTACAAGACAAATGTACCGTTTAAGTGACTTAACAGAGTGACCCACTTTGTTTAGCATTTCTTATGGTTGTACCTCTGATATATTAACCAAGTGTTAATGATTTTTCAGACTTCTCTTCTCATGTTGATAATGGGAGAATTGGAGCCTTCACAGGGTAAAATTAAACACAGTGGAAGGATTTCCTTTTCACCTCAAGTCTCCTGGATCATGCCTGGAACAATAAAAGAAAACATAATTTTTGGTGTATCCTATGATGAATACCGATATTCAAAGCCTGCCAACTAGAAGAGGTCAGTCATCCAGGACTTTTAAGACCTGTGATTCAACCCATGTGAAGAACTCAAAGAAAAAGTCAGGGAGTGGAGCTTTAAGTAGAGCAAAACATTTCTGAGATTTAAGGAACTCAGCTTGGCATCCTGATTTTGTGAAATTGCAAGTCAGTTTGTTGCCAGCTCCTCGGGAGATACACTGATGGTGCCTGGCAGTTTACTGATGGTAGTTCTGATAGTTTACACAACAAGAGATAAATAAGCTGGCTCAGTTATTATAAGGTGTCTGCCTTCTCAGTCTTCCTTGCTAGTTAAAAACCTGGGTAAACATATTAATGTTAAATACAGGCTGTAAAAAGTATTGTTCCTACATATTTTTCCCCGTGTTTCTTCCCCATAAAGAAGCTTTTCTTTACAATCTTGGGGATTAACCTATTTTCCTCCTTTCTTTTGCACTTCAACATTGGCTCCAGGGATAATTAGAACTCTGCCAGAAACCTGAATTATTTAGAGGAAAATCTTGACTGAAGTTGGGTTTTTCTATGTGCACTTTGAAAATTCTCACACTGGAAATCATTGCAGGATCGATCTTTATGTGGCATGTGGCCCACAATTAGTACAGTGATGTGAAACTTTCTTTGTATATGTTCGATGTTGCCAGAGGGTAGGGTAGGAAAATATATCTTTTCACATTGCAAGATACAAAAGGAGCCAGCATCTTAGACCTTTCCACCCCTATTGCTGTGCCTTAAGATCAGGCATTTTGTCTGTAACATGTAGATGAAAACAATGAATATTTAACTGTGCTCAGTAGGGTCTGTCTTTAGTCCACATAGTGAAACATATTTTCCTTTAGCGCCAGTCAAGCAAGAAAACAATAGCCAGTCTGTTTAAAAATAAGGTGAGGTTACTGTGCTTTATCTAAGAGCAGGGTATGGTTAAGTGATAAAGTAATTTTCTTCTACGTTTATGGCCATTTCAGCTTGTGTTTGGATTGTGGTTTGCTGGAAATCTTCTTTGAAAGCTTCTGAAGACAGAAGAATTAACAACTTCTCTGTCAGGCTTTCTGAAGACAGTAGTCCTTATCCCTGGTCGTAAAAGTTGTAGTTAATGCCAAAGCTCCAAGGAACAATTTACTTTAGCAGTTCAAAACTGTCCTTGCCCAAAAAGGCTTCCCAGCCCAGACCTTTCTTAGAGCAGAAGATAGTTAACGATGCCTCAGTGTCTTGGTGTTGGTGGGACAACTCGGTCTTTTGGCATTGTTGGGATGGCTTATTGTCTCAGTGTTAGTGCAGCTACTCAGTGTCTGAGTGCCGGTGGGACAGCCTGGTGTTTTGGTGCTGGTGGGACAGCTTGGTGTCTTGGTAGACCGCATCTCCTTTGTTCTCCAAACAGGCTCAGTCAAGCCAGCTTTGACCTGTGTATGTGCAGCTCTGTGCAGAATGATATGCTTCACCTCCTAGCAGGACTCATTATTTGAGATCGTTTGATACTTATAAGGATATTTTCTTCTGGACTGAAGCTGAATAAAACTGGGCTAGGCTGAAGAGAAGGCAGAACAGTCTGGAAGGAAGCCAATGCTTTACCTGATTGCTATTATGCTTTCTAGTCTTCTTAGTTGTCACATCTTCGTTACTGAACAGGACTCAGTATGGCAGATTGAAGGATAGATTTCAAATAGTATTTCCCTGTTTATTCCCCAGTGTGATCTTTTAGGGATTTATGATGATAAGGGTTAGTGCTTTGTTGAATTGGGGTTGTGTGTGCTCTTATTCTTTAGACAGAAGAGGTACCAGAGGGTTTTTGGCTAAGGGAGTTCACTTTGCCACCTTCTCTGCAATTTTCCCATGTAGTTATATAGCCCACCTGAATGTAGGCCTGTTGCTGAGTCTAGTTCTTATATGGGCTCTTCAAGGTGAATCAAGGATTGGTGATAAAAGAGAGTTTATTTCCTTATTGCACATATGCTGAAAGTCAGTTAACATACAGCTTTTAGCAGTGGCTAAGTGAGATTTACTTCCAATCTCTATGCTCACAGAAACTTTTTTGGGAATACAAAGCTGTCTTTTGTGACCCAGATGTGTTACTGCTGCAAAAAGTAATACTTGTGAAATGCCTCCTTTGCTTTGCCATCTCCACTATCACCCTATAGAGGAAGCATACCAAACATGTAGTCAGATTCCTGAATTTGATGTCTTTTCCCCTTTGTCTTCATTAGTGTCAATAAACTACTACAGGTTACTCTGTGTGGGTCATGTCATACCATCTACGTAGGTCTGGGGCTTCCTGACACATAGCAGAACAGGACACTGAAGCTGGATGATTTCATACAAGGTGCTCTGCATTTTGTTTTAGATCTATGGAGCTATGCAGTTGATATTAAGCAAATGTAACAAATCATTTGGAGTGCATGACAGTTTTCAGGAAAGTCAGCACTACATTTTTCTGCTTGACTTTTTTTGTTGGCACAGAGGCACTTAAAACCTCTTTAGAGTTGCTAAGTACTTGAGGTAAATTTATCTCAAATTATGAAAGATGGTAAGTTCAAGTAAATATTTCACAGTGCTTTTCATTTTTTTAGGTTTCCAAGAATAAAATGGAACTTTTTTTTTTTTAATTCAAAGAGTTCAGGTAGCTACATGTTTTAGTTCCTGCTTGCTTTCTGCCTTCAGTTTCTTATTCTTGATGCCTTCTTGCAGTTCACCTCCACTCTAGTTGTGTCAGTACACCTGTTGATGATGTACTTAAGCAAGAGGGAGAGTACCAAATTTAACCTATATTCTAAAATGAAGGTCCCAGTTTGCAAATATGGAATTGAAGGCTCAAGCCATTGATCAACATGGATCAAACCATTCTAGCACAGATCAGTAGTCCTTACCATTTGTCCTTTGTTCAGAAGCTTTTGTGAAATAAGTTGCTTAAATGGACTTAGTTTTGAGTGTGCCGGTCTTATCACAGATCTATTACCTTTGAAATCTTTTATTGGCATGCTGTGACAGAGAGAAGCCAAGATGCAGTTGGTATGGATTCTGAACTCATTTCCTAAAGACAGTCCCCACAGGCAAGCTTAAAGGTACTCGGAAGGTAATGTAAGATGAATTGATACTGCCTCAGCTTATGCTACCTTTTTTAATTCTCATTGCTCAACAGTGAAAGCCACTGGGAGATGTGGACTGGATGAGTTTATATGTCTATGGAAACTTGCTACTAAATTTAAAGTAATTCTACAATTGTAACTTCCCCAGAGATTGAAGGGTTGTGTTAATGCCATGGCAGGGGTAACATAAATATAAATGGGGGTTTGTAAGAGTAGCCAATTAGGTTTGCAAAATCCTTATTATACATTAGTTTTGAAACCATACTTCCATGACTGCCATTTTTACCTTTTAACGATGTAAGATAGATATTTTTCCACCTAGTTAGTTCATTTGATCCTTCAATAGTTACATAAGAGACCATAAACGCATAATGGCAAACTACCTTTGAGAGATTACTACTCTTAAAGTAAACACATGTTCTGATTTGAGAGCCACCAGCTGTTCATGAATGTAATGTTTAACATGTCATGCAAACAGAGGAAGTGTTTCCACGGGAAATCAAATCATATAATAGTACCAAAGAAAATTTGTGGCTAGATCCTGTGTTTTTTTGAGCTGGTTTCACAGGGAATTCAAGAGATCATCTTTCATCTAAGAACTTAGACTATAGTGAGAATAACTAGAGAAGGAGATGGTCAATATGCTAAACCCTGGTTTGTGTTCCTGCATGTTTGATGTCTCCTTGCAAAGGATGGCATCCATCCCTGGGTGGCGAGTTCACTGTAATGTCAAGGATGCCCTGAAACAGAAACACATATACTTGCATGCCACTGTACTCCTTCTTTTATCTGTGCTGCTTTGAGAGTTGGTTGGTTATGGTTGGTTGGTTGGTTGGTTTGGTGAGTGTTTTGGCAGATAAATAAATCAGCAGGAGTTGAGAGATAATAACCTCTCAGTTGTCAGTGAATGAAATACTTTGTGCCCTGATTTTCACAAGGGATGTTGGCAGATTACAAAGTGTGCGTAAGAGAGGAATAATAGGAGTTCAAGAGGATGCCCTGAAACAGAAACACATATACTTGCATGCCACTGTACTCCTTCTTTTATCTGTGCTGCTTTGAGAGTTGGTTGGTTATGGTTGGTTGGTTGGTTGGTTGGTTTGGTGAGTGTTTTGGCAGATAAATAAATCAGCAGGAGTTGAGAGATAATAACCTCTCAGTTGTCAGTGAATGAAATACTTTGTGCCCTGATTTTGCGCCGGCTTTTCACGAGGGATGTTGGCAAATTACAAAGTGTGTGGAAGAGAGGAATAATAAGAGTTCAAGTGTGGAACTGAGAGCTTTGTAGTAGGTAATTCTCTACAAGAGGATATTAAGAGGTAGCTTGGTTATCTTGTCAGGTACATGTCTACAGTGTAAATTATGTGAAAGCAAGTTACTTAGACTGTCTTCAGTGCTGCATAGAGCAACAGGTGAAGTTCACCTCATCCTAGTACAGCTAAAAGAGCATAAATACCTCTTTCAGTCAGACAGTCCACATAGTATGTCATATCTCCTGCTACAGCTGTTGCATCTTGGACATCTGGACCCAAAAGCTGACTACCTTTATACTTTTTTTCCACCTTGCATTGGTATGATCCACTAACATGAGCAGGCTCCTCTAACTGCAGTTCTTGTCTGTGGTCCAAAATCATGGGCAGGTCAGCTGTGAAGCTGCTGACACAGTGAGTTTACTGGGGGAACTGAAGTAAATAGGCTAGCACAGTTTCTTTGTAACAGGGGAGCACCTCAATCAGAGAAAAAAAAATAGGCTCAAACTCCCAAATGCACTTACTTCAAGAAGTTTATCAGCGATCAAGTAAATATGTTCAGCAGAACTCCTCTGCAATGTTCTGTGTTATCATTTAGTTAAAAACCTGTTTCAGTCAAGACAACTCTCCTCACACCTTTCCCTGTATTAAGTACAGGGCTCTGGACTGATTACCTTGGATGTTGTCCTATCTTCTGTGTCACTTCTGGAATCATACTTAATTCCCTTACCCTGTGTTTAACCTATCCACATGCAGCATACCAACCATGTTTCAAAAATCTGTTCCACAGGAATGTTTCACCATAGAGAAAGCAAGTTTTGCCAGCATTCATGTGAGTTTTGGGTGAGCCTGACACTCTACTCAAGGTCACAAACTCTTACAAAAACAAGGCTTACAATTTTGAATCATGAATCCTTCATAGATTTAACAAAAACCTCAGCTTCAGAAATCAGCGAGAGAGAGAGAGAGGAGGATCACCTAAATAAAATAAACCAAAACTTTTAAAAGTAATTTCTGATTTGAAATACTTTAAAGAAATCTGATCTTTTGGCTTCTGACCCAGGAAAATGAGAACTCGAGTAAGTTCAAGCTGGTTACCCAAAAGCCAAGACAGAAAAAATTGCTGAAAATTCTACATCTTTTAAAAAAGAACAGAAATGTTCACTAGTAGGTATGAGTCTGAAACACAAGACTCAATTTCAAAACTTTACAACTTCAGATTTTACTATTTGATATCTTACTTCCAAGATAATTTCTTTTCTGAAAATTAGGATAAATTGAAACTTACACTTTCTGCAAAATGACATTTCAGATCCATTATCTAAACATTTTTAGTAATCACTGAATTCAAATCTGGAGGTTTGTTTCTGTTCCATTTCTAACTTGTTGGCGTGTTAAAATTGAATATAATTGCTTGGAAGTAGAGAAATAGTCATGTTAGTGAGAAAGCAAGTAACAGTAAAATTTTATCTTATACTAAAGAGAAAAATCATCAAATGGAATGGAGCAGTATTGCAGCTACTGCTTGAAACTCTTGGTGCTGCTTCTGCTTGTATTCAGCTTTACTTGGCATTTTATACGATAAAGGCTTCAGTATTTTTCTTCTAATTCATTGCAAATAGTCCATACTACAGAAAAGGAACTGCAACATGCATTCAGAGGCAGCTTCTCTAAAAGACAGAGAGAAAGAAGGTGGCAAAAAAGGGAGTGCTTTGGTAGGTGAGAAGGAAGTAGAATGTGAATGGGAGCATTTTCTGGGAACTGTGAAAATGAACGTGTTAATGGCAAAAGGTGGGTGCCTTCTCCATGGGTGTGCAACTTGAGATTTCTTAGCTCCTCACATTAGAATGCAGGAAAGTAATTAGTGTCCGTGGAACTATGGAGGGTTTATTCTCTGAATAGTTATCAACAGGTTTCTCAATTTAAGCATGTAGAAATAGCTAGATTAAAGAAATCCAGTGGCTACTTCATTAATATACTAGGGTTTGTGTTGTTCAGCATCATCACATTAGGTTTGTCCCTGGCTTGATTTCACTTCCTGCACGAAATGACAGCAAGGATGTATTTGGGCCAGCCCTATGTACTTTTTCACAATAGGTAATGCATGTTCCAACAAATAGCATTGTGTGTCTATTGGACTTCATCACTCTGTTTACGCCTTTGAAAGAAATTACTAAATATTTTTTAATTATTATAATTACAGCCTGAAAAGTTCTTTGTCTGTTCCATGCCATATATTATCCTGAGGTGAAGGGTGGAAGAGAGCAGAAGGGGAACTCATTAAAAATCTGATTAAAATTCCATGTTGACAAACGTGCAGAGAAATGTATCTAACGAAAACCCACCACCATTTAAACAATGGGATCCCTGGAATTAATTTCAGTAGAGAGAAGATTTTACCCTGTTTGCAGGGGAAGATGCACTGGGCCCAGTTCTTCACCTGGAATTTTTTTTTTGAAGAAGGAGAATCAGGAAACAGAAATGGCACCAGCAGCATTACAGACAGCAGTACTGGTAGAAATGGGAAAGAGCTGAAAACAGCTTAGATAGCTAGGTACTTAACTATGCAAATCTCAGTGTTCAGGTGAAGATACTGGGTAAATGTCAAAATTACAGATGAACAACGTGACTCCTATATGTATAATGAAACCACAAACAATTTGAGCAGATTGCCTAAAATAAGTGCCAGAAGAGCTTTCATGCCAGAATTTCACATGAACTCTCTAAACACTTCATGGTCTATAGGAAGATGATTTTGCTGTGTTTAAAAAATGTTGCAAGCACTGTTTTTCACATCCCTTTTTCTGCAAATACCTGAGCTGTTGTGTTAGTACCAAGGATTTGCTTGTGTGACTCTTTGTTTTACAAGAGGGAAATAACTCGATAGCATCAGAAGAATTTAAAAATCACCTGCGATAGATTTTCCATACATAAGAGCATCTTGATTTTAAGGTCAGAATCCTCTAAGTCAGGAAGTAAACGCTATTATCAAATTAAAGAGTTGGGAGAATCTACCATTTCCTGACAGACCAGGCCATCAATTTCTAGCCCTTGAGAGGCTGGACCTTTCATCTGTCACCGATCCAGGGCTGAACAGCATTGTTCACTCTGTTCCTGAGGTCAGAGCAATTTACAGGGAAGGAAGAAGGAAACATTTCTCTGGAAGCATTTTTATTTATTTATTTATTCTGCAAAACCTCAGGGGTTTGGAAAGCCAAAAGGTTGTTCAACAGAGAGTGATTAACCACCAAAATCACAGCAGAGGTGATCAAAATTGGATTATTTCTGACTCTGTATGAAATGCGAACTTCTAGAGAGCAGCCCTACCTAGAATCCTAGGTTATATTGCCCTAGAAGTGCTTCACATGTCTTCCAGTCTTTTTTTTTTGCAGAAGCTGCAGGATTTCTTTGGGTGCTGCAGAGTGAATGCAGACACCTGAGTTCTGCAGTACTCTTGGGAGAGAGACCCCAAAACAGGCTGCCTTTTCCAGAGCACTGCTTAAAGCATGCTCCCAGAAGCTCACTTTCTGAGGGATTTTGCATGCCACCTTTCTCCTCCTCCTCCCGAAGCTGAACTAAAAGGAAAATCTTTGTAAAGCATGAGAACACTGGAGCTGATTTTGTCTGTTATCAGATGCCTCTGTCAGCTTCCCTGGCTGCCAGGGACCCCTGCCTTTGGAGCAGGAGGTCCCAAGGAGCAGTGGGAGTGGCAGTCTAGTGCTGCCATGTGGGGAGCACAGGCAATGGGAGCTTCTGGGACACTTGTGCTCCCAGCTTGGCACATGGTAAACTGCCCTGGAGTCGTACTTGCTTAGAAACCTAGATGCCCTGAGGCACAGGGTGGTCATCCAGCCTGTGTTTCTGTGAGAAGTCCCCTGAAACTACCACCACCACACTGATAATGGTGTCTCTGTATTGGCTTAAGGATGTAGGCCAGGTAGGGCTTGAAGGCAGAATTAATATTTTTTTGTTAGAGCAAGTGTAAAAAATAGAAAAAAATAGACAGCCTTGAGGCATAGAAACTGTTCTCCATGTCTCCACTTCCACGAGTTATTGTGGTTTGTATGGGTCCTCAGTTTCAGTGCTTAATTCTCCTCTCAAGAACATTTCTGGCCACTTCTGCCAGTGGGGCACAAGGATGTCCTTTTCTCCTTTCTCTGTCTCACATTAGCCTGAAATGGTATTTTCTGTTTTTATTACTGGCTGAAGATTCTTTTTTAGCATAGTCATGAGTTATAACTTACAGCCCAAGCACAGGAACTTTGGTCCCAAACCTATTGCAAACTTTGAGCATTCGTGGCACTCCCACCTAGGAATTTTGTGCAAGCCTTTTTTAATGAACCTGCCTGAAGTCTAAATTTCTGTGGCTTAGATCCAGATTTTGCTTCTTGCTCTCACTAACTTGAGTGGCAAGTGCATTTATCATTGTTATTTTACAGAAAACTTGAATGGTTAATGTCTTGGATTAATATTGTATGAAGGTACATTCCTTGCTTTTATGGAAATCTAGCAATTAAGACAAATATTTGTTCTTGAGATCTTGCAGCTCGTGATTGTTCTCTGCGACAGAATGATACATTTTCTTCTATCACCGTTTGTGTTTACATAAACAAATGAAAGAAAGAATCCTCTGTGGGACCTTTTTTTTCTTTCACAACTTCTGTCTAACCTGTCTGTACACTATTGTACTCTACGCTTTCATCCAGTCTGTAACTTGAGTTTCTTGAATATGGAAAATACATGTATGATTCTTAAAATAAATTTATTAACAGGACATTTCCAAGTTCCCAGACAAAGATTATACAGTGCTTGGAGAAGGTGGAATCATTCTGAGCGGAGGCCAGAGAGCACGAATCTCACTAGCAAGGTGAGTGTTTTGCTCTTCAAGTAGCATACTGCTTCATGTAGGAAAGTATTATGACTAAGCACTTAAATACGTGTGGACCTCCTGCTAATTAAATATCCTCCAGGTGTATCAGAAACATCATTTTCCTATCAGAAATCTGAGTTTTGCTATGAAACTGTGTTTGTAATACACCTGCATATTTATTTATTGAATTTTAAAAAATTGATGTCAGATGCATGCTATAGCTTAGCTGAAGATGAATCTTTCCCTCCCTGATGCAAGATGCTGTTTGAAGTTTCAGACCTTTAAGTGTAGCTTTCTAAGTACAGAAACAAATGTTCCAGGATCTCTCCCTGCTATGACACTTCTATAAAGCAGTTTATATATTAATTAATGATATACTCCCTGTCTGCAGGTAGCAAAAATGAAAAAAAAAAAAAAATCACATTTAAAAAAAATCTTGCAAATAGTTTTGCTCTTTTTCGGTTGTAAAAAGAAAAAGTGGAAAGAATGGCTACTCAGTACCCGTGAATAATAGACTGGCCTTATCTGTTTGACCTTCCAACATTTGTAAGTAATTTTGAAGGTCTACAGAACAATAACATAGGTGTTTGTCTTATAAATTAGCTATGTGTTTCAGCAGAATCACTTAGCTATCATCAGAAATCCAGTAATTACAGCTCTGATGTGTAAATGGCCCCATTTATTTCTGTGCCAAGTGCAAATTACACTGGTTCCCATGCTCAGAAATGCTGGGTAAAAGTAAAATCAGATTATGGTTATCCACACTGGCAACCCATGAAAGATGTACATGTCTATGAGGCTAAAAGATGGGTTCATTTAAGTAGAGAAGCTTTCAGTGTAGACCTTTCTAGTGGATTTGTGAGAGTGAAGAGCCATATGGATGGTTCTGTTTTATCTTATCTGTGAGATAAGAGAGGAAGGGAAGAGCAGGGAAAGCTTTCACAGAAAAAAAAACAAACAAACAAAAACACCCAAACAACAAAAACCCCTTAGATTTTAATTTAAAATGCAACATTTATGTGAAGTATTTCCTAAATTCTAGGAATAATAATAGAATTATACAATGCTTTGAATTGGAAGGAACCCCAACATGTCTAACCCTCTAGTCATATCTGTTGCTTTTCAGATGGTCACAGTTCATTTACTGGAAGGTAGCAGAACTGATATAATGTATGTATTGTCAGCTATATAATTATTATTTTTAAAACAACTGCATGTCCCAAAGACAGTGGCTATATCTGCCTTACATTTTCTTTGGGATCCAATCTAAGCTCAGCACCCTGCAAGGTGTGCACATGTTGAGGTGTGGGTTGCAGATGAAGCTCTGAGAAAGCTAGAGGAGAAAATTTAGAATTACAGTGCCAGGCTGTACCCATCTGCACTGGTGATAAGCTGGACTTTATTTGCTTGAACTGTCTGCGTACATGTGTCTGGTGTACTCTGTGCAAAGCCATGTGAAATGGGAGGCCCTGCTAGAAGTGCCATCAACCAGCCATCATGAGAGGCAGATGGAGATTGCCTGAGGCCATCTTTCTTACACAGCACTGTCAGTTCCACTGGGGGAAGAAAAGAACCAAGGGTGAAAAGAAGTGCATGCCCTGGGTTTGAGCTACCTCACTGGCCTGGCACCCTAAAGCCAGTCATGTGTAGCTACTGAATCCAACATACAAATTACAGCAATAATTTGAGTGCTACCATTATTCCTGGGAAAAAAAATTGCAAACTTTTAGCTGATAAGAACAGTTTAAACTTTTTGTTGTTGTGCAGCCACTACATCATATATATCACTGTATCACATACATCACTACATCATAATATATGGTTAGTGAGATCCATCATGACACAGGCTGTTTCAATAAAGTTGCTTGGTTTATTGATGTAATATACTATTATTGAGGCCTTTTTTCATCGTGGTTTAATATTTTCACATTATTTAAGATAATAATTTAAAAACTAATCTTTAGTGTACTTTCAAACGTACCGAAGTAACAACTGTCCAATTTATTGTTACTAATTATACCGTGATTAAAATAACATTGTGATTTTCATACAGAGGATGGCAAGAGGCCTTTTTGAACTTCTGTTGAAATCGATTTAACTCCTCCCCCCTACTCCCAGCCCTTAGCCACAGGTTTAGGTCTCAGTGAGCCAAGTCCGGGCACATACAGCGTAAGATCCTAATGCTACAAACAGTTTTTCATGTCCTGAGCTCAGAATATCCAGTCTCATTTCAGATAGTGTTTGCAAGATCATGGCTGGCTTGTCTTTGCTCACCAGTAGTTTCGAAGTACTTTTAAAACTGAGTGCTGAGAACTAAGTCTTTTCATAGCTGTAATATTCCCTCAGGCACCAGTAGGTACCAAATTCCCATTTCAGTGGTCACTGTACACCAGTGGGGACTGTCAGATGCAGGCAATAAACATACCTTTAGAGTAACCTGTGCAGAAGGCATCTGTGTAGCTTCCTTTGATTGAACAGAAATTAATGGAATTAATGGAGTTAATTTGTGTTGTGGTCTGCAGCAAGGAAAGGCTTTGTTGCAAGGTGTCTTATAAGCATATCTATCATGGAACCCCAGCTCTATATTGATGAGGTAGAAAGTCTATCAATTGCAAGTGTTTGAGACAAAACTGTAAAGGCATTGTTTTAAAATTCTATTTATGTAAATGTATAAGACTCGTGAAAGTTAATGTCACTTCCATTTTCTCTGTTCAGAGCAGTGTACAAAGATGCCGATTTGTATCTCCTGGATTCTCCTTTTGGACATTTGGACATTTTTACAGAAAAAGAGATATTTGAAAGGTATCATATGTTTTGATAGATTGTATTTAAGAATCCCACCAAGCAGCACAAAGTAAAACCAAGAACCAAAATTTAATAACAGTACAAAAATACAGAAGTTATCAAAGTTACATGTTTTGGGGATGCTTAGTTTTAGGGATTCTCATGACTGAGTGTGTTGAGTTAGCAGTAGGACAGTGTGCAGAACTGGGAAGGAGCCTGGACTAGGTGTACACATTACTGCTCTCTCTTCCATCTCAATGTATCGAGGCTGCTGTAATCTATTATTCCCAGAGTGCATGGCTTCATATCTGGTGTATCTGTGTACCACAAAGGCTTTCATTTTAAAAAACTTACCTGCTTCTTAAGTATAATTTTCACTAAAAGCAATATTTTGGCTTGTTTTTCTAATCACTGAGAGACTGGTCATCTGAAAGTGCCCACTGACCAAGAGATTGGCAGCAGGTTGGCCAAAGACAGAAACATTTGGCTTGTCCAGGTGGGGTGTCTCAAAACGTGAAGGACACACTGCCATCCTTGATCATTTCAGTCATCCTAACATTAAAATTTTGAAATCAAGTTAATAGTTTAAAGCTTGGTAGCAAAAGATCTAAGTATCCCTAAGAGGAAAACAAATATTTAATTTTCATGTTGAACTGTGCTTTTTGGGGATGATTACTTTTTCCTCTGTGGTTGGTTTTTTTTTGTTTTTTTTTTTTTTTTGTTCCTGCAATAATGCACTCTTCCTTTACACTCAGCCTTACCACCTCCTCTATAGTTTGCGGGAGTACCCAAAACTACTCATACTGAGAAGGGGGCAGGTAAAAGCAAAAAAAAAACATAGATTGAAAGGGAAAGGGATAAAAGCAACATTTAATCATGGAGGAAAAAAATAATTTTTAACACTTTCCTGTTTTATAGCTGTGTGTGCAAGTTGATGGCGAATAAAACTAGGATCTTGGTTACTTCAAAACTAGAACATTTAAAGATTGCTGACAAAATATTAATTTTACATGAAGGGAGCTGCTATTTCTATGGAACATTTTCTGAACTTCAAGGTCAACGTCCAGACTTCAGCTCAGAGCTGATGGGATTTGGTTCTTTTGATCAGTTCAGTGCAGAAAGAAGAAATTCGATTCTGACTGAGACTCTCCGTCGATTTTCCATTGAAGGAGAAGGCATGGGGTCACGAAATGAAGTAAAGAAGCAATCTTTTAAACAAACCTCAGACTGTAATGACAAAAGGAAGAACTCCATAATTATTAACCCCCTTAATGCAAATAGGAAGTTCTCAGTTGTGCAGAAGAATGGGATGCAGGTCAATGGGATAGAGGATGGCCACAATGACCCCCCAGAGAGGAAGCTCTCACTGGTACCTGACTTGGAACAGGGGGACGTAGGATTGCTTCGGAGTAACATGCTAAACACCGACCACATGCTGCAAGGTCGAAGGAGGCAATCTGTGTTAAACCTGATGACGGGCACCTCTGTGAACTATGGACCAAACTTTTCCAAAAAGGGAAGTACAACATTTCGGAAGATGTCTATGGTGCCTCAGACAAACCTGTCTTCTGAGATAGATATCTACACCAGGCGATTGTCTCGAGACAGTGTCTTGGACATAACTGATGAAATCAATGAGGAGGATTTGAAGGTGTGTGTTGATTTACATTCATCTTGTTTTTTTTTTTTTTTTTTTTTGCAGTGATAGTTTAGTGCAATATACTGATTATATATTTTTCTACTTGACTGTGTCATTCCTAATGCAGTACTTCTCAGTGGAATATCTTTTTGAAATATCTGTGATTTTTTTTTTTAACACAAATATAATCTTGAAATAATTGAAATCCTAAACAATTTATTTTGCCTGATTTTAAATATTTTCGAATAGTTTTCTCTGTCTAGAATTTCAGTACGGAACTTTAATCTCTTGCAATATAAATTTAAGATTACTTATGCTAAAATGAATTTGAAGTGGAACAGAACATGGAAACCCATTGTTTTGAAACATTTAAGTAAAATTGATGTTTGAAATATTAAGGATTATAGAAAAAATAAAATACATTTGAGGCACTACAAATTTGTCAAATTCGTCAGACTGCTTAGCTCATGTTTTGATACAGATAATGAACAGAGGAGTAAGCTGGATTTTACTCTGTTTTTAAGGATGTGCTGGAGGTCACGCAATTAACGTTGAGTTTTACACCAAGAACTGGACCAAAATTCCTTTTTTCCAATAACTATCAACTGGTCATGATGGACTACTTTCATATTCAAAAGTGACGGTTGATTTTCACAGGAGAGAAAAGTTCTCTGAAGTAGTTTTCTAGGTGAAAAAATGTCTACAAGAAATATTTAAACTCATAATTTGTTGAAGCACTGCCCATTTTTCTTTTGCTTCATTGATCTCAGCAGAACACCCATGCCCCTTGGGAATATTTAGTCTAACAGCACAATAATAAACTTTACTGAAAGAAAATAGGTATTGATTAACCATTTCTGGGCTTGGAGTGGTGCTGAACAAATCTTGGTTGTTTCTTTCAGTGTCATCTGAAAATTTTGAATCATCTCTAAACTGTTTTGTTATATCAAAGATGACTCAATTAACTCTCATCACTCAAAGTGACTTAGCAGAGAGAATAAGAGCATTCATGTGTCAGAAATTTTCATATATAGATATTCTAATAATTCTTACTGTGGTCTTATAAATTTTTTGACAGGAATGCTTCAGTGATGATGCTGAAAGCATGGGTACTGTTACCACATGGAATACCTATTTCAGATACGTTACCATCCACAAAAACTTGATATTTGTTCTAATTTTGTGTGTGACTGTCTTCTTAGTTGAGGTAAGAAAATCTATGCTTTATGTCTTATTACTACAAATGATATTTTTTCAAACTGTGTTCTTTGTGATAAAAAGATAAATGCATAAAGCATCAAGACATTAGCTCATATATGTATTGCTTATTGGCCACTAGTGTTCAATAAAATTGCAATGATTTTTATACTCTTTAGATGAACGTTTCTCACCAAAGACAGTGATTTGTGCATGGCAGCAGAAGACCCACCTTCTCAAATTATCTGCTATTTTCTGCTGTGTGGTACCATAAATAAGAATTGTTGCCCTATGCAGGTGAAAGATCTTCTGTTATCCATTAAAAGATATCTCTGCAGAGACCTGGGGGGTTAACTAGATTTTTTTTTATGACTACATACATAAATTCTGGAGAACTGTTTTCAAAAACGAGTTGATAGCCTTGCTCCTAGTGGAAGAAGAGTGGTATGGTAGAGAACTGAATGCCTGTCAGCATTTAAAGATGGATGGGGTGTTCCTGCACTGGGCAAAGAATCTGTTTTCCAAGTACAGCACAAAATGCTGTCAGAAAAAGTGTTGAAGAACATCTGGCTGAACATGCAAACCTGACCATTTTTCTTATAACAGAAATTGCCTGCTTTTTGTCCTGTCTCCCAATTTAGGAAAGGCTTTTAGTATATATATAGAATCTCAATGTCCCTTTTTACAATTAATATCCTAAGTCAAGTGGTTTTGTGAGGGAAAGAACATGTTTCAGAGAGAAGACTGGGAGATTAATGAGGTTATAGTCATATATCAACTTATAACATATAGTACCGATTTCTCCGGGTATTTTTCAACATGTACTGAAAGAAGACAAGAATCCCTTAGCAATGCAGGACTAGTTTATGGCTAACTGTGTCAGTGAAAGATTTTCAGCAGTTCTGTAGTGGCATTCAAACTCTTGAGTATTATCAAACCTGAAGAAGGATATGATTGATGGTATCCTGAATTTACACAGTGGGTGATTTAAATTAGTTCTTTTGAACCAGGAATAAAGCCTGCAGCTTGGATCTAGTTTGGGATCTTTAATTTTTAAGCCACTACCAGAAGTAAGGCGATATTTAGATCTGTAGCTGTTCTTTGTATTAGCAAGCTTTTGTTAATATTATGTTAAAAAACAATACAAGAATATTTAGGCGCTTGAGAGTCTGATTGTAATACAAGTCTAAATGTAGCTTTTCTGGTGGGATGCACTAAATGCTTTCTGTGGAAAGAGGAGCAGATATGACAAGGTTTTTGCTTCAGATGGGTTTGATTTCCATCAATTTATAATGCTTCCTCTAAAAACAATTATTAAGTCAGTGAAAGAAGATAAGTAAGAAGAAAGATGTAATGTGACAAGACAACAAAAATTGACTCTGTTTTCTTTGGTCACAGGTAGCTGCTTCTCTTGCTGGGTTGTGGTTTCTCAAAAAGTAAGTGGTTGTGATCTTTTATGGAGAAATTTGGGTCTCCTTTATATTGATTTTTCCTGTAACTAATTTAAAAATTCTGCCAGATTTTTTTTTTAACATAGGCATTAACCTATGTTAAAAAAAATATTTGTTCATTGATGGATGATCTAAATACCTCATGTAACTGGTATCTTAAACTGGTACTTCTTTAAGATCTAACAAGCAAATGGTTTGTCTCTTGTTATTGAGCACATAACAACGCACACAAGACTTTCCTGGGTCAGCTCACTGTAGAGTTGCATAGACTTGATTATCCTGAATATACTGTGGCTCACTGCTGTCTTTCAAAGGTGCCAGGTGAGATATTTGCCTAGGAACATTTTAAATGAGCAGTTTCTGTAAGACCCCATTTGTACAAATTCCTCTGCTCACCTTATGTAAAGTTCCCGTAAGTTACAGGACCAGGCAGATGAAGGTTAAAACATCCTGAGCAGCAGTATGGCTTTTCCTGGGTTAATGCTTTTGATCTCTGCATTTCTCCTGCAGTGCTAGGTCTGTGTGCTTGCGTATAGAAAGCATATGCTGAGTTAGGTCTTGTCTGGAGGAGGAGGGATTTATGTTGATGTTCCCTTAGTAAGTTACTAAAGCGTTTGATTTTTACAGTACACCTAAAGCATTTGACTTCTTTTTTTCAACACCTAAACTATTTTTTTTCTGTTTAAGAGAAGTGGGTGCATTTTCCTTGTTTAGGCTAGTTTTGTCAGTGGTTAAACAGGCAGTAGATTTGCAGGAGACTACCAAAGAACAGCTTTTTCACAGAAGTTTGAGAAAACTGTTGGAGGGATAGTAATATACCAATGGCTTAATTTCTGCCTTGGTAAAAGTCTTTGTTGCACAATTGCAGCGGATTTCAGGAATTGCTACAATTGTTGATAGGCACCTGAATCACCAAAGGTATATGAGGAGATGGATAAGCCATTTATTGCCTTGACCCTTGACCTCTGAACACACAGACAGAGACACACAGTGACAGTAACTTTGCCTTAGCGGAACATGAGGTAGTTAATAATTTATATTTCATACATACAGGACACTATTTTAAAAATGACTGGAAATATATATAACTATTCACACAGTTTTAAAACAATTGAATGTTGCGGTAGTTCTTCTTTATTAGAGAAAATAAAGAGCAAAAAACCCACAATTTCCAGTAATTCATTGATTTTTGATTTCCATCACACAGGACAGCTTTCAAAGCAAATGCAACACAATCAGAAAACAGTACCTCTGACAAACCTCCTGTGATTGTCACTGACACTAGTGCCTACTACATCATTTACATCTACGTGGGAGTGGCAGATACTCTGCTTGCCATGGGAATCTTCAGAGGTTTGCCCCTTGTGCATACGCTCATAACAGTGTCTAAAACTCTTCATCAAAAGATGGTGCATGCTGTTCTTCATGCACCTATGTCAACATTCAACTCTTGGAAAGCAGGTAACTGAGATGGGAACTGATTGACTCATGTAGGGGTTTCATTTCAATTAAACAGTTTTCATTCTGGTAAAGGACACTGTTACTTTCCATTAGAGACTCTCCAGTCAAGATGAATGTTAAGTTTGCCACATAAGGAAATTTGTGAACCTTTTAATGAACCTTGATTTCACTTTAAGTGTGACATATTTCAGTTGCCAGTTCTGACTCTAAAATATCACCTTGTAAGTCAGAGAAAATCGACTATTAACTGTTTGGAGCAATAAAACTAGAATAGCTTCTAATGAATAGACTTTGTCAAAAAATTGCAATGCAAAAGATACCATCAACTATGTGGTGAGTGACAAGGAATCAGGCATGGATAATAAGTGGTGCTTTATTTCATGACTAGTCCTACTAAAATGGCATAAAACATCAAATAGTGTGAATAATGGTATGTGTATTCTAATTGAGTTCTGGAGTTGATACCAAATTCATTATATAACTGGTGCAACAAGTTTCAGCTTCAGCTGTACATGAAGTTCCTATCCCACACCCTTCTTACTGGTGTGTACTAGATTATAGGAGACATTGGTAAATGGCAATACAACATATGGTTTCTCCTTCATTTTCCCATTATATTCTTAATTCTGTTGTTACCTAGTGATTAATACAGTAATTCTGCTCAGAAGTTAAGGAACTGGCGTACAGACTCGTACAAAAGCTGCTGTGCAGATTATCTGTGTATCAATAAATCTTGCTGGACAAGGGGTACAGACCTTATGCATTGTGCCTCTGTTTCCATCCCATTTAGTTATGTTTCTTTCTTTTATCATGTTTTTCTGTTTTTTTTTTTTTTTTTTTTTTTCCTGAGATTCCAAGAGCTGAAACAGAAGCCAAATTCCTCCATGGGGAATGAAGTGGTAGCTCCACGAAGCTGTAATGGAATTACTTGTGCTGGAAAAAACTCTTGTGCTTTTCCTTAATATTTTCTGTTCAGAAAAAGTTGTACTTTTTGTAAAGTAATAAATGTAGGAGTTTTCAGGTGTTAATATATCTGACTTTTTTTTTTTTTTTTTTTTTTTCTTAATCCATAGGTGGTATGCTTAACAGATTCTCAAAAGATACAGCAGTACTGGATGACTTACTTCCACTTACAGTATTTGACTTCATTCAGGTTTGTAGAATAAAAGCCCTAAATTTTGCTGTCTTATAGCAGTGTAAAGATTCAGTCATACATAATGCAAAAGAAATCATATTAATAAGAAAAAATAACAACTGGAATTAAATCTCTCTTCCTTTTTTCCCCATCTGTATCTCTATTTACATAGTTGCTGATTTTGAAGGTCAACTTTATTGCTTCGTTTTTGAGTACTTGCCTGTATGTGCACCTCCACCATTTGAGCAAACCACTTTCAGTACTTGGGCTCAGAAACATTTTTACCTTGCAGCCCCTTAGAGTGCAAGTACCTGCCCACAGCCAACTTCAAAGGTGTAAAGGGCATTCCTTAGTTTCTTTCCATTATCTTGGCTCACGAGTAATATTTTTTTTTTTATGCTATCCTTTGATTTCATTCAATTGTTTTCATGACTTTGCCTCCTTAGCTTCTTTTGTTCTCACTTAGCTGGCATTACCCTTTATTTACTACTTCTCTTTTATTGAATATATTCTTGTTTTTTTTTCTGTTCTTTTATTTTCTGTGGAAACTCTTCCAGGTCTGCCTTAATGTGTAGTTTGATCCATGATGATGTGCTTTCAACTCTCAGTTAGACAGTTCTGCCACATTCCATCTTGGAGGTATTTTATAACCCTGAGTTGTAGAATTGCAAACTTTTTGGTTTTTTTGGATGGAGAGGCTTGTTTCCAGTGTACCTCCTGAGAAACTCCATGCATTGCAAAATCTTGAGTTTTGAATGACTTTCCAATTCATTGACACTGAAGAGAACATTGAAGAAACACAGTTGAAGAGGCAATTCCAGTGTTTTTCAAGGAGGATGTCTTTGTTTTCTCCCTATCCTGCCTATTCTGAAACTCTGTGGCTCTATGTGGATCCCAGCATCCCTTATTAGTGTCCCACCACTAATGCTGCAACCTCAGCTTTTCCTCATCTAGAGTCTTCCCTGCTTTACAGCCCTACCACTATGATGGTCTGATCAGAACAGAATCCTGTTCCTTGTGTCTTTATTAGTAATAGATAACTTTGACTCATGACTTTAGAGAGGCCAGTGCAGCTCCACATGAAGAGTTTCAAGGACATTCCAGCTCTACTTCACGTCCTGATGACATCATGAAGATCTGCTGAATGAGTAAATAAGGACACTGAAACCATCTCTGAACCATTAACCATGTTTGGTGTGATGGGGATTCACTTCTGTCTTTTTCTGGTGTGGCCATTTCGTTTCTGATATTTTGAATGTGCCATTGGGATGTTTTTCCAAAATTATTTTTGTTGGTCTGTCTCTGTATTTCAAACTCTCTAAAAGAAACTAACTGGTTTTCCATGTTTTCAAGGATAAGCACAATCCCTAGATTGGGCTTTTCTGTTCAGATTGCTTTCTGAGGCTAACCTATGCTGTAATGTTCCATATGTTCACCTTTGCCTCCTCAGTCTCAACTGCAGAGGCTTCTGAACGTGCATGATAAGCTGCCCTGTCTTGACAGATTCTTCTGGTGAAGATCATTGTACCTACCTACTGTCTTGAGTGTTTTTTACCAGTCATCCCTTCATAAAAAAATTTCTCATGATCCTCCATAGTTTTAAACTCATTTGGCAGCTTCAGACTTCCATGGACTCTGCTAATGAACAAAGCTAGATTCCTCTGAAGGATATGGAAAAGTTACACATATTACTTTCTCCTTTTGTGCTGATTATTGCACAATCACAGAATGTGGAAGGGACATCTATGACCTGGGACCTCTCCTAACCTTCTGCTCAAAGCAGGTTCAATTAGAGCAGGTTGCTCAGGGCCATGTTGGATTTTGGATATCTCCAAGGGTGGAGACTCCACAACCTCTCAGAATATTGCTCTGTTTGACCATCCCCACAATAAAAATGCTTTTTCTTATGTTTAAATGGAATTCTGTGCATTTCAGCTTGTGCCTATTGCCTCTTATTTTCCCATTTCGTGCCCTTGAAAAGAATCTGGCTCAGGCCTTTTTCTCTGTATAGATATCTAGTGGTATTTATAGAAATAAAATATATTTTAAATATATATATAATTTATAAATCTATTCGCATATATGCTCAAATTTATAATTTATATAAACATAATAAATGCCATCAGAAATTTATATAAAGTGATAAGATCCCCCTAAGATTCTCTTTAGGCTAAACAATCCAAGCTCTGTTAGCCTGTCATTATACATGAGATGCTCCAGTCCCTTTATCATCTTCAAGACCTTTCACTGGCCTCACTCCACTATGTCTGTATTTTTCTTGTACTGGAGAGCCTGCTCCAGATACAGTCTCACTGGTGCTGAAGAGAGGGGAAGGATTACCTTCCTTGATCTTCTGACAACACTGTTGCTGTTGGCTTCCCTTGCTCCAGAAGGGTGTTGCTGAAGATCCCCAAGACCTCCTCTGCAAAGCTGCTTTCCAGTTGGTCAGCTTCCAGCCTGCACTGGTGCATTAATTTCTTCTCAGATGCAGAGCCCTACAGAAAAGTTTAGCTTTTAAATATGCTGAGATGCCTAAATGTGAGTCTGCTAGAGATGGAGACTTGGTCAGTGCCAGCCTTCTGTTTATGTTTCTCTACGTTCATCCTTCTGACTTTTGAGATTTTCCCAAGAATTTGACACAAAATTTTAGAGCTTGCTCTTACTCCCACTTTTATAAGAATAAGCTGGCAGAAGACTCTGGCTAATTCCTTGTTTAGGGACACTGGCTTCTCTGTTGCAGCTGTGGATGTCATGAAATAGTGTTTCTTGGGACTTTTGTGGGCATTAGACATTATCAGGAAGCCTTCCCTTTTAGGGAGCAGGGCTTTTCATCCAGAATGAGTGAGGGTTCAGGATGAAATAGGCCAGGGCTACTCTCCAGTTGCTGGCATATACCCAGCTGCCCATAAAAGAAGCGGTATCAACCTTCACATCAATGACAAGAGATAGATAGCATCTGTGATGTTTTCTCTGACAGCTATCTGACCTGCTTCCATACATCTTGAGTATGACTGTGGCAGCATTACCACTAGTTTTAACACCCATCTTGGTCTTCTACCAGTGCTTACAGTGGAGTCATCTTTTCTCGGGGATCCTTCATGTGAGATGCTGCTGGCATATATTCCTTGTCCCTAAGGTTTAATATAGTCATACTCAAAAGTTCACAGTGAACTCATTGGCACCTATACTTATGGCCATGATTGGTCTTCCCTAAATGATACGCCCCCATTGGTTAACCAGATTGGCTGCTGCAGTCATTACCACCCTGAACCCTTGCTGAATTGCTGTCTCCACCACCAGCTGCATTTTCCAAACTGGTGACACAGAGGAAGTATTGGAACTTGTCTCTCCATCTGGCCTGTGTTCCAGGCCTGCAAGCTCAGCACCTGGGGTCACTGCAGTGCAGCACTGTGGCTCTTAACTGGGCTGCTGGAGTCCTCTGCTGCCATTCCCTGACCCTACGCCAATGTAGCTGCCTTGTGTGTTGATTTTTGTTACTGCCTTTTTAGAGAAGATGTCATCTTATGTTTGACTTTACACTTACTTTGTGTTTGGAGTTTATGAGATAGCAATAGATTTTCATATCCAACTTTTTAGTGAAATAACTGTTGGACCAGCTGTGAGAACAATATGGCGTTATGGTGGCCTTTGCAAAATTTGAGTAAATGATGGAAATAGGAATTATAACAGTCACTGTGTGACTGTAATTTCAAGTAATGTGAGCACTGTATAACTTGGCTCAAAGTCAACTGAACAGCTCATTTGCCTCTTAATAATTAGTGATGCAAGAGGTACAAATTCTGCAGTTTGAAATAATGAGTAAACAAAATCCATTCTTGCATTGCTACAGACCAGTGCTCTACAGCCTGCACAGACACAATCTACATGCGTCACCATTCTTTTAAGAGAAATTAGGAAAATAGCTAAAGATATCTTTAACTAGTTCATCTGTTACCGTATTGGTGTGGATTTTTTTTTTTTTTTTTTTCATAAACTTTGATGCTGCTATTGCATTGCTCAGATTTTTGATGAAAAAAGGAAGGAAGCCTGGAAGATGCTTACCTGTTTGTGAAAGCCCTCTGACTTGGAGTACTGGGAATTTAAATCCTTGAACTTATGTGGATGTAGTAGCAAAAGCACCAATGGCAGGTTTCTTCCTAATGTGAAATTAATTTTGTTTTCCGTGTATTTCTTTGCTGACTGGTCATTTGCAGTGATGTTTCAATGTGATGTTCGTAATTTTGTTCCCATTGTCCATTTGCAGTTGCTTTAGGCTGCTAAGTGTGCAGCTTGAAGTAGTTGCTGAGTGTCAAAGGTAGCACCCTGATACAAAGCAGAGCTTTGCCATTCTGCGTACAGCGATATACTTGATTTTCACTGGATTTATGTACAAGACGAGAACCGGTCTAAGTGCTTAAGGTGCTTCTAGAGTAAAGATCAAGACCTGATTTAGCTAAATTGGTCTGGAGCTACTGCATATGAGGTCTTAGGAGAATGGTAGTAATCTGTGGTGTGTTAAATACATTAACTTTGGAATGATTTTGCTCCTTTTGTGTCATCTGTCACATTAAAACATGTTTTTTTTTTTTCCTCCTGAAACTGCTAATTTTTGATACCACAAGTTCTCTCATGACTTATTTTCTGTCTTCTGATCAGGACAAGTAGTAGTGCTAGTTTCATATATCGGTTACAGTCCCTTGAGCAAGTGATAATGTGAGACTTCCCACTTTTTCTGACCCTCAGAAAAACTGCTTGGCCCAGAACCTTCAGGAATCTGTCATTCAGCTCATGACAGTCTGGCACACCTAGTCCAGATAAGACAGGGACAGTGCTGGTAGGTTTGGGAGGTGGCTGCAGATACTGCAAGTCCCAGTCTTAATTTTAACTGAAGAGTGAGTACCTAGCTGCCATTAGTTTTATATGGCTTCAAGATTTAGAAGCCTGCAATACTGGTTGTACTGCAGAGAACACTTCTTCCTTCTATTAGGAAAGAGGGCAGGTTGTTCCAACAGGTTATGCTTCTGGTCTCGGTTATTCATGATCTTTTCATGGAGGTTTGTTCTCAGCTGCAAATCCCACTTAGCTTAGCACTTTATGTTTGTCGAAACAATACGTAGTTGCCACGGGAAGGACATTCGTCACCAATCTCTAGTCTATCAAATGACAAGTTTACTATATCAATAGTATTTTTCTTTCATTCTACAGTTAATACTGATTGTGATTGGCGCTATAACAGTAGTCTCAATATTACAACCCTACATCTTCCTGGCATCAGTGCCTGTGATAGCAGCCTTTATTGTGTTAAGGGCATACTTCCTCCACACTTCTCAGCAGCTGAAACAACTGGAATCTGAAGGTAGGAGCAGCAAAATTGGTAGACTTCTAAATCTACAAGAAATCAATTGAGAAGTGATTTACCCTTTCACCTCTTCTTTGCCTTTTCTCTTGCAAGATGCCATTGTCTCTGGGAGCAGAACACCAAACTCTTTAAAGCCAGTGCTGTTACTGGTATTCAGTGCTGCTGGTATTCAGCCAATACCAAGTGCTCTGCTGCCCCAGAGTAATGGAGAAGATCTTTTTAAACCTGAGCTTTATCACCACTGCAGCTGAAAACAAATAAAGTCCTGACATAAAGTTTTCTTGTGAGTAAACATAACTTGAAAAATTGTGGTCAGGCTTGGTATGTGCCCTATGAGTTTGTTTCTTCATAAGAAAAATGTAGAATAGATGTATTTTTATTGCAAAGAATTCTTATTTCTGAAGAAGTTATTTGACTAAATTTCCTACCTCTCCCCCCATTATGAGACTAACATGTTCCAAATAAAATGGAAAACCTCATTCTGAAGTGTGAGTTTGCAGATCAGGCACTGTAGCCTGGCTTTACAACCAACTGGCAGATCCTCAGCAGATCAGTCCTGCATCTTAAACACTGATGATCATCTTCCCTTTTACTTAGGTGTAATTCAGAAGTTCCTCAGATCTAAATCATATTTTCTTTATGTTCACAGGGATCCACACTGGCTCACCACCTTTTATGTAGTGCAAGATCTGCTTAAAATTACTGTGTCAGTACAGTTGAATCCAGAGCATTAAAGAACTCTGTGCTAAAAAAAGTTCACTTGATGGAGTTATCAGAATTGCAGGAATACATTTTGGCTGGGCAGGAGCCACCTTTCTCTTGTGGTATCTTACCACAGGCCAGGAGCTTCCCTGAGTAGTATACTAACTGTGAAGAGTTAATGCCATCCCTCCTGGCAATACACTGAATGAAATTTCCAACCCCATTCATGCAAAGGCTGTTGTTGTATTCCCTGTACTAGAAGTACTTCAGTCATGTAGTCCAACAACGTGTGTAAATTAAGCACTGACCATAGTTACGCTGCCGTGAGTTAGCGCATAGGGCTATTTGCATTATATCAAAGGTATTTGCTTATGAGTGTTTATGATGTTTCTAATTTAAACACTTCACAGCTCGCAGTCCAATATTCACCCATCTTGTTACCAGCTTAAAAGGGCTGTGGACACTGAGAGCTTTTGGGCGGCAGCCGTACTTTGAGACCTTATTTCACAAAGCCCTGAACCTACACACGGCAAACTGGTTCCTCTACCTGTCAACGCTGCGCTGGTTCCAGATGAGGATAGAAATGATTTTTGTTGTCTTTTTTGTTGCTGTGGCATTCATCTCCATCATAACGACAGGTATGGTAACGTTACTGGAGTACTGAAATGGAAGTCTTCTGCTTCTGTTGAACAGCTCAGCTTTAGAAACTTCTGAGGGAAATGAACCGTTGCAAAAACTAGTGTACATTGGAGTCACTGATTTAAGTATGTCATAATAATAAATACAATTTAATTAAAATAGAAATTACACCATTATTATCTGCAATCTGATGTTGTAGAAGACTCATGAAAGGGATTATCTGCAAACAATATCTGAAGTCACATTAAAACATGTCGACACCCGATCCCCGGGATCTCTGCCACCCAACCTCTGCCGTTGGGTACCATCACAGACACAGGCTTCAATGTGAAGGATGTTGCAAATGGCGTTTATTGCGCAGCTGCAATTGCTTATATAGCACAAGCCACACCCACAAGGCCCCTCGTGGGCAGTCTGAGCTTTCCGTTACATCGCGAGATCTGCCGCACGCCGATCCCTGCCTAGGGCGGGCTCTGCTCACCACAACAGACACAGCTTTCCTTTTCTTGACTGTAATTGGTATAAAAGGAAGGAATCTTGTGTATTTTAAACCACATTAATGTAGCCATGTTAGTGTACTGAAAGCTTGTGTGTTGATTATAATTCGTAAATCTCAAAGTTTTTAAGTAAATGCAAGTTAATGTTCCTATCATTTGCAAATGGCTAAGACATGTGAAGTTTCAATGATCTTTCAAAGCCACAGCAACAGCAGAAATAGCCATCCAGTTCTCTAATTCCCAACCCACTGACCCATTTTCCAATGCGAAGTTATTCCATTCAAAATGCCCTTAAGAATGGCTCAGCACTCCTAGTAAACCCAGTACACGAGTGAGAATCACTCTATACCTTACTGTCTTGATTCTGAAATGCTGCCCATGGCTGGCCAAGCATACCTAGTATCCAACAAGCAGAGAAGAGGAGAATAATATGCCCAAAATGTTGTCATAATGCAGTTCTGTGGAAAAACTCAGCAGGTTTAGCTACAGATGTCTTCAAATACAGTTTTTAATTTGCTATGCATTTGTTTATGTGAAATCCGTGTTTTCTGCATGAAATAAAAGAGACAATGTGAATATGTATTTTAAGATATACATGCTATTTTTTTTTTTAAATTTCTATGGGCTTTTTATTTGCAGATAAATGGAATGTGTTTTTCTCTCCACAGGTGATGGGCCAGGGAGAGTTGGCATTATTCTTACTTTAGCTATGAACATCATGGGAACCTTGCAGTGGGCAGTAAACTCAAGCATAGATGTGGATAGTTTGGTAAGCATAAAATGTAGCACTGTGCCTTCTTTTGAGGAATTGCCTTATTTTGTTGATTATGGTTGTTCATTGAGTTATCTTCAGAGCTGGATATCAGGCAGATGTGTCAGAAAAACTCCCTTTGTGCCTTTCGTAGCAACCTACCAGCTTTGGCACAGCACAAACTGAATTTTTCTGTGGTCAAAAATTTTCCTTACCTAGAATAGGCAACAGCAAATAGTTCCATTTGAGGATTCAGAATGCAGAGGTAGCAGTGATAGGAAAACTTCAAAAAGGCTTGGAGTTGTTTTGTTTTGATTATATTACCAAGGTCTATAATATATCTTACTTGATCTACTTAAGGGCTTTGCAGAGCAGATCACAATGGATGTTTTTGAGCTCCTTTCACACAAAATCAATGATGATTTAAAATCTGTCCTAGACTTCGCTGGGGAACTTTTTCTGATTTTGTATAAAATGCCCTGTGACATAAGGCTTTGGAGTTGTACATGTTTACCCCTTTAATTTGTGTAGTTATTCTGTTAGGGTTGATTTTAAAACAAAATATTTCACAAGGTTAACTCATCATCACCTGTTTGTCGAGATATGAGAAGCAGACAGGAAATTCTTAGAAGAATACATCTGTTATTGCAGTTTTCATCATACCTTAGCTTAAATGTATGAAAGTATTAGATGTTATTTTTAAATGTGACATTTACTTCTCTCTTTACACTTTAGGCATTCTAATATTTATTTTAAACAGAATTCTTGTAACAAAATACAGTAGTCCTATAAACAAAAAGACTTTCTGAGAAAAAAATCTCCCACATCCAGTCATACCCTCTCTGAAGCCTAAATTAGCTTCTTGAGCCAACTGTTTCAGTACTGAAAAACAGACAGCTTTTACAGCAGACCTTGGAGACCATTAAATCCTGATTAGCTGAAATGTGTAGTCATTTAAAAGAAATATAATTGGGGCAGACGGTAACAGTGAAGGAATATTTGCCAGTTCTACATATTTTTTTTTAAAAAAGTAAATTCAACCACTCTCATCCTGAAGGAAATCCTTAAGAGCCCCAAAACTGGGAATTAACCACTTACAATATCTAATCTCTTGTTTACGCATGTGACTGGTGATAGTCCAGAAAGCTGACTACCATTCAGGGACACGCTTTTTCCCTATCCACCAGTTGTTTTATGCTGCCTCTTTCTTTGCTTGTTTGAGCAGCCTGTATGAAGAGCAAGCCCTTTGTGAAAGGCTTGATTTGGTGTAACTGCAAGACACGCTGACCAGCAGTTGTGTGGCTGACAGTAAAGCACAATGTGTCACTGGTAGGGCACGGCTGTGACAACGACATTCATCAGCTCTCATTTGTAAACTTCATCTGAGCCCTGTAAGGCATAATGTGATCACAATCTGTCTAAGAATCATGTGCACATATTATACGGATTTATAAAAAAAAACTGCTGAAAAGGTGTTTCCCAAGAGCCACAGAAAGTCTTACTGTAGGATTCAGAGCGTGCTGGACACACTAGTGTTTTAATAAGGAAGAACTTCCCATTTTTAAAAATACAGTGTCATCTATTAGTAGCAATAAGGAAAATATCATCTATTAGTAATAGATGCTATATTGCTACTAATAGATGACTAAAATGTCATCTATCAGTAGCAATAAGGAAGTAACTCCCTTTCCTCTGAACAGAAAGTCTCAAGTTGCTTTAGCCATTTGCCAGTACTTTTGTTCATGTTAATACAAATTGGAGCACCAGTCATATTATATTACTGATAGCCTTCTATGGTGCATCAGTTTATAGGTGGATTCTCTGGAATTCTTTCATCAGTGTGTAGTTGTGCACCCCTGCCCCATGGGTTTTTAGGTATCCTAGATAACAAACTAATAGATATTGCTGGCAGGATGGTTTTCCTGACATTCAGAAGGTGCTCCTGTGCACAAGCAGCTAAGAATAGCTTCATGGTTTCAAGATAATAAAACTGCTTCACTGCGTGATGCAGATGTATTATTTCCTGCTCTTTGTATTCTCTAACTTTAGCACTTCTCTCTTTGAAGTCTTTTACAATTATTTGGTTACAGATGTCTTGCAAAGACTTGCATACATGCCTGCCTTAGTAGTCTGTTTGGTTATACTCTATTTTTCTCCAAAGGGGTGCTTTGAAACTCCCCACAGGACCAGACTGACTTGAACTGACACATCTGCGTGTGTCTCTAGTGACAGATACGCACGCACCACTCAGGCACTTCCTCGAGCAGCTGTGACATCCCTTCTTACAAGGCTGCACACAAGCAGCCTGGGAGTGTGGCACATTTGTAGGTAGCAGTCCTGGGTTGTCAGATAAGCTGGAGTTTTCTGTAAGTGGTTGAAACCCCTCTCCAAGGACATAGCTACTGTCTTTAGTCCATAACATTAAGCTTGTATGGAGTTGTTTTACAAGATATGGAAGGTACAGTGAAGTACTGGAAGACAGGAAAATAGGGAAGAAGGATTTCATAAAGAAGATGAAAATGTACCCGAAGGAATACTGGCCAAACAGATGGGGAGGTGGTAAATTTGACTTTACTCCACACAATCTCCTTCTCAAGCTTTCTGTGGCACTGACATACGTATTGAAGAAATCTGAGATTTTAGGTTGGATTTTATTTTTGTGTACACAGATATTCTCTTTGAAGCTATTTTTATTTAACTAGTTTGGCCTTAACTGAAAAATCTTCATTGTCTTTTAATACCCCATAATGGTTTTGGCATTTTGTTCTCTGCAACCCTGATACTTTATCTGCTGTGCTTTCTTTTTTTTTTTACATACGTGGTCACTCTGACAGTTACCCATTGTTTCATTTAAAGCTACCAGTTAGGCTAGATTTATCTTTTCACTTTGATCATTTCTGCTAATATCCATTTAGCTGCATTTCAGTCTTTTTCCTATCCCTCCAGGCAGTCTTCTAGGATTTTAATATTTTTTCCTTCATAAGGAAATAGAAAATAAGTTTTTCAGTAAGTGCTGCTTTCACAGATAAGCAGTGGCTAGTCCCAGTGGACTGTTTTAATGCTTTATAGCCTTCTCCTTCACTGATGTGTATCCTGCAGTAGAAACTCTATAACCAGGAAGGGCAACTCCTTTTACCAGGGAAAGAAAAAAATGCCATGCTTTACTGTTGCCAAGATCACTTATGTAAGGAGATATAAAAAGAATGATCCACAGAGATAATAAAACCACACTTGCTAAACCTCACAGTGCCCCACCCTGTACATCAGGGATGCTGAAGAATTAAAATAGTATATGGTAAAGAAGAGGACCAAAGAAAAAAATTAGGACTGTGAAAATAATGGTGCTTTTATAGCTGGTTTTCATGCTTTTATTTATTTGTTAATCTGTTCAGTTGGTATATTTTCTTAACTGGGACATGATCTTAATATGCTTTTTATTACTGTCAGCAAAAAACCTGAGAACACTGTTAACTTAATGTTATTTTCCAAGGTTCAAGTAGACTAAATACTTGACTGTAAAATCTGCATGAGAAATGACAATTCTTAAAGTGAGGTGTTGGTCATCTGGAAAGGAAGAGGATCAAGAAAAAGCTGTTAGAACATTTCCTTTTCTGACTGCAGAGCAGTGTGAGAAAGAAAAAAAAAAAAATCAGCACAAGTTTGACATGAACTAAATATTTCAGTTTTACAGTTTAGAAGAGGAGGGTATGTCCTATGAGAGCACCCTAAATGTAACAGCAGAAGGTGCGAAACCTCAGTAAAACCGTATGACCCACCTGCACTGACCCAGTTTTTGCAGTGATTCAATGCACAGGCCTCTCTCCACAACGTGAGCTATTGGGCCAGCCTCTCACAGGATCCCTCACTTGCACACTGCGCTCTCCAGACATCATGTTTTTGACGAGGTTGTGTCTTACAACATGGTTGTTAAATACTAGGTGTGTCTGGTCTGGAGAGGGCAACTGCTTTTTTTCTAGCAGAAGATAACATAGGCCTTGATGAAATCAATTTGTATTAGATTACTTGTAAAATAATTACTTCTTCCACTTTCTGGAAATATACATTACATGGTTATATTATGAATCCACTTTCAACATTAAGAAGAGTTTAAGTGATATTAGTGAGAAAATAAATTAATGAACTTGCAATGTTATTAAAAGCTCAGTAAAATGCAATTAGACAAGGCTAAAAATAGTGTATTATACTCTAGACATTTTTAGGTGGAAGTAGTAAATATAATCCTTTATTATAAAGCATTAAAGAATGTGAAGATAACAGGCATATTGCTGATGGGAATAATGGATAAGAAGCTTGCTGTCACCTACACTATACCTGTCATTATGAATGACAGAAGATTTCTACCTGTGAAAAGAAGAATGGATATCTTTGTAAAATGTTACTGACATCTATGCTCCATTCTGCCTAAATCTAAATCATAATTCACATTACAGAATCAGAAAAGCATCCTTTTGAATTGGTTTAAACTATTAAGCTGTCTAAAATAGCTGCATATGTAATGTGATTGATGAATCTGTGACGGGCGCTGGGATACAGAGATGAAATTTTCTGTTATAAGGGAAGGCTTTTTGTCCATCTGGCTTCATAGCAGATATTAGCTAGTGTGCAATGGCAGGATCTCTTGGGCCTCAGGCCCAAGGGCTTCAAGAATAGGCGATCCCTGCCTATGCAAATATTCACGTTTGTATCACTGAAACCAGATGACAGTCATCTATCCACATGATGATGATCCTGCCTTTCCATCTTGCACAATGGTTGAGATGGAAATTGTAGTCAATAGGCTTGGATGTTAGCATGCTTTTCAAACCTTCTGTCACAATTTCTGACCAATAAGAACTGACACTATCTTATAGTTTACTCTTGTTCCTTAAAAGGACAAATTTTGGTAAAATGAAGAATCTAGTTCATTTAGTTAGTTGGGCTAAGGCACTTAAGAACCTGAATGTAAATTCAAGCCATGCCTTCTACAGATAAGGGGATGAAATTTGTTTCCTGAATAACAGGAATAAAACAACAGGACATTTTGGGAGCTCTAGGACTACCAGCATGAACAACATTCTCTGAAAGCATATTAGAAACAACAGCCTCCTCAGAATGGTTTAGCTAACCAAAACAAGCTATGCACTGGAGGTCAAGAAGCAGATAGAGACAAAAGACTTGACAAAATCAGAGTTAGACTTGCAAATAGCTCAAATTCTGGATAAATACTTGATGTCAGTTTTCAGTAAAAGGGAAGTGGAGGAGTAAAAGTGCGATCTGGGGAGTTGAAGTGGAGCAGAAGGTAGAAATGGAATTTACAGTATCTGAGGTGGAAATTGTATGCACAAACCAGCATAGCTGTGGGCATGTAACTGAAGTGTCCCCAGTAAGAATCCTGGGCTCCTTAAATTTCCTGTAGAGTTTGTGGAGGGAAACACACACTACCTGTGTGTTTGTCCATCTAAAATCAGAGTCTTCAACTAAGTGTGGTTGGGTTCTGCAGTTGGAAACTGCAATTAAACGTGTGAAACTGAGATGGAAAAATGCTGCCCCACACATGCAGACCGAGGGGGATAAGGCCAGAAAGCACTGGCTGAGAAGCTGGAGATCTGGTAATGGCCTCTTCAAAAGAATCCACCAAGCTAGCAGAGGTGGCACATGGTAGAATAACAACTATCACTTTTGGTTAAGAAGGAGAAAAGAGAAGTCACTGATGCCACCATCAGTTTGCTAGTCTGATGGCAGCAGTCTTTAGAAACTATTCTGAAGAAGTAATTAAAGATGCAGTGCTTACAGAGGGAATTCACTAAGGTTTGCTGACATTAGGGCTGCTTCAGACTAACCTGACAACTGTGTTTGATGATTTATTTTCCAGACAAAAGTAATGTAGCAGATCTTATTTGTCTTCAGGAAAGCACTGGCTGTGGCTGCTTCAGAAATTATATAAATGAAGGAGATCAGGATTATTACAAGAACTGTAAACTAGTTAATGAGTTGGACAGAAAGGAAATGGCATTAAGCTGTAGGTATTAAGCTGTAGGGAGGCTACTCAACCAAGATTAGATTTGTGACTGAGCTAGTTTTAATCTTTTTTTAATGCTCTCAACAACAACAAAAAAAAATGATGCTGAAGAAATCTGCCAAAGGCACAAAGCTGAAAGGCAAGTGTTGAATGACACAGGGAGTTGAAAGGTATTAGGTGACCTCAAATGGCAGCTATAAAATAGATTTCAGTAACCAAGGTGCAAAGGCTTGCATTTAGGGACTGCTAAATATAACTTCTGTTGTAAGGAAGGATCTCCTTGGTTAGCAATGGCTAAGATGGAGGGAAGCTTGGCTGACCGCTGCTCAGTCAGATAGTGACTACAAGATGTGACTGTGAAGAAAAGAGTGTATGATTCTAGGATGTGTTAGTTGAGATACTCCTAATATAGATTGTTACAGAGTTTATAGAGTATTAATACTCCTAATACAGAGAGTATTAATGCCTTTGTACAATGTCCCTGTGAAACATCATCCAAAAACGCTGTGTACATTCTGGTCAGACAGGAAAGATTAATTTGAATTGTGATGTTTGGAAAAGGAGAACATATTAAGAAAGAGGCTTAAACTTCATTTTTCTTTAGACCAGGAGAACAAAAAAGTATTTAGAATTTAAAATTAATAAATTTACAAGAACAAATGGGTGCATAGGCTTAAAAATACGTTTTCTGACCACCTGAGCAGTGAAGTTTTAGTGAAGGAGATGAATTAACTATTTATTAATTGACCCTTAACCCATTAAAAAAAAAAAATCAAGAGCATCCCTTCTAAGGATCCCATGCTCCTTTGAAAATTCAACAGGATTGCTACTAGCAACTTCTGTCTGAAGTTCATGAACTACAAGACTTGATTATTTCACCTAGTATATATAATTACAGACTTTAGTTATCATGGAACATCCTACTATTTTGTTTTGTAAAAACTATAGATAATTTCTCATAAATACTCAGATGTTAATGTCTGGTGACTGTTCCTTCTTACTTGGTGCCACTGCTTTACTTCTTTCAAATTCCACACAGTTGGCTGATCTCTGGAGATCAATCATTATTCAAGGAACTTCAGGTTTTCAGTTGGGCAAACTCCTATAGGAGGAAGGAGTTGGAGACTGCAAGATTGCTTTCATGATCATACTTTGTTTTCATAAATACAGGTCATCTACAGTTTTCAAAATACATTTCTAAAGGTAAAAAGATCTATTGTGTCTATTTAAAAAAAATCAGGTGGAATCACATGTTGGACCAATGTCAGTAGTACAAGAGCAATAGAACCTAGATCTTTATACAAGAAGTATCCTGCTTCTGAAAACTATATTATGGTATAACACAGAAAAGACACTCACTGTTCTGGCTAGGAATTAGGAATAATTTGATTTTGTTTGCTTTGATAGCTAAGTATTCATTACAATTAGAATATTGTTTGTTTAAATCTGTAGATGCGGTCTGTCGGGCGAATATTTAAATTCATCGACATGCCAACAGAAGAGATGAAAAACATTAAGCCACAGAAGAATAACCAGCTTTCAGATGCCCTTGTAATTGAAAACAGGCATGTGAAGGAAGAGAAAAACTGGCCATCCGGAGGCCAAATGACTGTGAAGGACCTTACAGCCAAATACGGTGAAGGAGGAGCTGCTGTGTTGGAAAACATTTCCTTTTCAATAAGTTCAGGACAGAGGGTGAGATGCTTGTCTGTTGTGTTTGATCTGACTCCTATTAAGCTTAACTACAGAAGTGTCATTATAAATCTATTCATTGACTACAGAGTAGGTTGAGTTCAGAAAGGTTCTCTGAATGAAATTGTCACTTAACAAAATAATAATCTAAAGCATGTGAAGAACAGAAAGGTCTTGTGTCTCTTCATAAAAAGAGCTTTTCAGTAGGATTATTGCCTGCCAGCAGAAAAAAAGAAAAAAAAAGGCAAGGAAAATCTGCCTCAGTTACCCTAGAAATCTTGAGGGTATTTACACCTCAGTAAAGCACAGTGAGGTTGTTTGCTGGCCATGAGGAGCAGAATCTGTCAATAAAACATGTATGCAGCAGTTGCCCAAGCTGTTTTCCCGTGCCTGAAGCCATCCACCTCCTCCTGCCAGGGAGAGAGGAGCTTGCTGGCGAGTGCAGGTGCTGGGGCAGCCTGACCCAGGTGGAGTGGGGCACAAAAGAATACCAGCCACTGTGCCAAGGGCAACGCACCGCTGGCTCCGGCGGCCAGGGGTGGAGGGGCCCTCTCACCTGTCCAGTGAGAGCTCTAAGCCTCCCCGGATTATTAAATAACAAACCATAAACAGATACATTCTTTAGGAGACTGACAAACCTCTAGGTGCTTTTCATACGTTTGGGGTTGCGTTCAAGAAAGAGCTTTAGTTTCAGGACAACAATTAGGCAGAGGCTTAACACTTCACTTGAAGTTCACACTAAAGGACTGTCCTCAATGGAGCTAGGAACAAAGGCTTGTGTGGTTTCCTGGGCTGGACCATACCAATGAGAATTTAACTCTGCTATGTAGATGAGAAAACAGGTTCTGTGACAGCTCCCTGGTCTTGCCATAAGGCAGCTCTTCATGCCTTGTGTCGATAGCACCAGTCTCTGCCAGGTGTGGTAGATGTGTTTTGGTTTATATGAACTGAATATTTCATCTACCATTTTTGAGGGCACTAAAATTTTGAAACTGGTCCTGTCGCACTAGCCCCAAACTGCTCTGCCTTTGGAATAGAGGCACCTGTGATTCCTGGAGTGTGGAGATGCAGGTGCCACTGCAGTCTGCTGGATTTACTTCCTGGAAAATCCCTTGAAACAATGGAGTATGGAAAATGACAGATACTTTAGTACCGTAAAGAGAGGGGATAAAGTAATTGAAACAAAGATCCTTTTTTCAATGGCTGTGATTTTGGAATGTGATCCAATTTCAGTGATGAACCCTGGACTCAGACGTAGTATTTCCAGAATTGGAGTGTGCTCCTTAAACTGGAGGGGATTTGTTTCTGCCCCACAGGGAAGCACATGTAAAATAATGAGGAAAGTGGAGAGCTCTCTTCTGCTGAGAGAAGAGAAGAGAAGAGAAGAGAAGAGAATAGAATAGAATAGAATAGAATAGAATAGAATAGAATAGAATAGAATAGAATAGCATACAATAGAATTTTTCAGATGGAAAAGACCTATAATGATAGTCTAGTCCCACTGCCTGACCAGTTCAGGGCTGAACAAGAACTAAACCATGTTATCAAGGGCACTGTCCAATTGCCTCTTAAACACTGACAGGCTTGGGGCATTGACCCCTTGTCCAGGAAGCCTGGGCCAGTGTTTGACCACTCACTTGGCAAAGAAATGTTTTCTGACGTCCAGCCTAAACCTCTCCTGGCACAGCTTTGAACCATTCCCACACATCCTCTCACTGGATACCATGGAGAAGAGCTCAGCACCTCCCTCTCCTCTTCTTCCTCCTCAGGAAGCTCTAGAGAGCAGTGAGGTTGCCCCTCAGCCTCACTTTCTCCTAACTAGTGCAAAGTCCTCAGCCATTCCTTGTAGGACATCCCTTCCAGCACTTTCACCAGTTTTGTTGCCCTTCTCTGGATGCATTCAAGGAACTTCACATCCCTGATAAATTGTGGAGCCCAGCACTGCACACAGCACTCAAGGTGGGGCTGCACCAACACTGAATACCGTGGGACAATCTCCTTTTTTGACTGTCTGGTCATGCTGTGCTTAAATGCACCCCAGGATGTGGTTTGCCCTCTTGGCTGCCAAGGCCCACTGCTGGATCTTATTGAGCCTGCTGTCGGCCAGCACCCACAGATCCCTTTCTGCAGGGCTGCTCTCCAGCAACTCCTCTCCCAATTTATACTTGTTACTCCATGCTAGGTGCAGAGCCTGTCGTTTCAACTTGTTAAATTTCATCCCATTAATCACTGCCTAATGCTCCAATCTATCTAGACCCCTCTGCAAGGTCTCTTACTGCTCAAGAGAGTCAACAGCACCTCTCAGTTTGGCATCATCAGCAAACTTGCTAATGAGCTATTCAGCTCCTGCATCCAGATTGTTGATGAATATGTTGAGCCGACTGGCCCTAGAATTGAGCCCTGAGGAACACTGCCAGGGACTGGCCGCCAGCCACATGTAGACCAATTCACTACAACCCTTTGAGCCCTGCCCTTCAGTCAGTTCTTCACTCAGTAGACTGGGAAACTGCTCACCCCACAGTTGGATGACTTGTCCAGAGGGTGCTGTGAGGGACGGTATCAAAAGCCTTACTAAAATCCAGAAGAACTTCATCCACCACCTTCCCTTCGTGCACTAGGTCTGTGACTTTATCGTAGAAGGATATCAGGTCAGGTAAGCAGGATTTTCCCCTTCTGAACCCATATGGACTGCATTATTCTTTAAATGTCTTTAATTAGTATGCAACATAATCTTCTCCATAGTTTTTCCAGTAACTGAGGTTGGACTAATGGGTCTGTAGTTCCTTGTGTCTTCCCTCACACCCTTTTTGTAGACTGGAATACAAATCTACCCAGTCTGTGGATTTGGATGGCACAACACAGTGCAGACTGTTCATCTAGTTTGGAGGCCTGAGGGCCTGTTATGGAAAGGATGCCAGACAGCAGGAAGAATACCCTTCTTCACCTGGGCATGTATATTGTCCCCCTACAAAAGCAGCCCACGCTCAGACAGGACGTCATTAGGTGTATAAACCCCAGCTGCTGGAAAAGACAGTATCTATCTCAGCATTTGCTGGTAGCTACTGCAAATATTGCTCGTTCCAGCAATAGGTTGGTGCAATCCCACAAGGAAAACATAATATTTCAAAAAAACCCTGTGTATTATATTTTTTACCTAAGAGGTAAGGAAAGGCAGCGTCAGCTGGGCAGGTTGAGGACTTGCATTTCTGCTTGGGGTGGGCGATGGTGTGCTGCGACCACTGCCTCAGGCCCAGGCTAGTGCAATACAAATCCATGGTCTGATTAGAGTCAGGCCCTCTATTTTCAGATATGTGGAAATGGAGTAGCTTACTAGTGTGGTTCAAGAGCATTCTTTGCTTGATTTTTGCCTGCTGGATCGGGTTTTGCTGAAGAGAGATTTATAGCAAAAGAAAGGGGAGAGGGACAAAGAGTTGGACTAATCATTACAAAGTAATATATAAGCAAATTTCTGTTTTTCAGCTAAGGCCAGACTAACAGATTTTTCATCTTAGTTAATTCTAACAAAAGAAAGAAGTCTCTGGCCCAGTGTTTCAGTCAGCTCTTGCTGTAGGCTTTTATAATTCCCAAATGAGTGACAGTTACCATCCCACTGAGATACGTTTGGATTGTTCTCCACTGCTGAGATCTCTAAGCGTTTCTGCCTTGGTCTGTGGGTACTATATGAGCAGTAGTGAATATTTGCTTTTATGATTTGCATTGCAGGTGGGCCTTTTAGGAAGAACTGGTTCAGGAAAAAGCACTTTACTTTTTGCATTTTTAAGACTGCTGAATGCAGAAGGGGATATCCAGATTGATGGAGTCTCCTGGAACACAGTCAGCCTGCAGCAATGGAGAAAGGCATTTGGAGTGATTCCTCAGGTAATGAGCTGATTGTATATTTGTGTGCCCTTATTTTCATTGGTTCCATATCCATATATGCATAATTACCTTCAAGCTGGATGTTGGTTGTTTTATGATGAGAAACAGAAACAAAATACAAAGTTTTTGTGAAAAAGGGAGTTGGATGGATGGATGTATGGATGGGATGATTTACAGAAAAAATACTTTTTGAGGGCCTCTATGCTAGTTGTACAAAAGCTCTTCTAGAAATGTGAAGGTACATCACACTTAAACATAAATGTTCATACCCTGCTTATCCCTGCACGTCTGAAACAGTTTGCGTGTTGGTTCTTAAGATAGTACCACCTGAAGAGAAAAATACAATTAATGGTGTTCTCAGCTGCTGTTTTCTAAAGTCCTATATCACTTATTCAGTTGATGTGTCCATGGGAATGCATGGACTGAGGAGAAAACTGGAAGTTTTGTAACAAGTAGCCTCGTCACAGTGACAAATACGGTAATAATTCTCATAGCTGAGTACTCACTATAGAGTCACTGATAGCATTGAAAACATAATTCTGATGAATGTGAGCAGTGTAACTTGCCCTTCTGCTCATGAGGTGCATTGTTAGTTAAAATTACACATTTAGTTCAGTTTGGAAACCCCTGATACATGGATCAATGCCAAAAAATCCCAGCCCTCTATTCTCTGGAAGGTCATGAGAGTTGCCAGCCTGTTTGCATGCTTCAGCTCATGGCTCTTGTCCCAAAGCCTTGCCAAAGAACTGCACATTATGCCCAAAGTTCCTACCTTCAGAACAAAATAAAGTTTTCATCAGTACTTTCCCATCAGGGAAGAGAAATTGCACATGCCACCCTGCCTTTTCCAGCAGAACAAAGGAAACCTTTTGTTCAATGCCATTCGCCTACAGCTTTAGAACAGAAAAAAAAAAAAAAAAGAAAGGAAAGAAAAGAGTTTCCTTGCCTTTCCTGGAAGGCTGGCCTACAGCAACACCTGGATATTTGCACCTCCAGGGGAGGCTTCACTAACAAAAGGAGAATGGAGCTCTACCTGAGGCATACTTCCTTGTGGAAACATATCAAAACTCTCCTCTTCCTTTTCCATAAATTTCCTGATTCAGAAGAAAAGAAACGCTCTGAAGAATTCAGAAGAAAATAAGTTCCTCTCTGGGAACCTTACTGATGTGCACCTCCATAGAACACACTGCAGTCTGCTCCATGCAGGTAATGCTGGAGGGGCCTGCAGAGTGGCCAAGGATTATGCTGAGCCAGAGCAAAATCCTGTTTCCTTGAGTATCTCAAATCCAGCTGTCAGCACACTGCAGTGGTGTGAAGGGGTAAATCCTATAACCATGTTTCCTGGAGCACCCACAAGGAAGTTCCTTCCTGTAGCTCCCGGTACCCTGTGCTGCTGAAGCGCTGCCTGACCACAGCGCTGCTCCTACAGGATGTTTGTCATTCTCATGCAAAGCAATTACTCCAGCGATAACAGGCTGTTTGAAGTATAATCACAGCCAGTCATCCCTTCTTTCTGGGAAGTCCCTTCTGATGCTTCTGCAAGAGTTTCCTCACCACATTTCCAAGTTGAGGACATCCAGTTCCATCTGGTTTCAACACACTGAAGCTCTTTTGCACACAGATCCTCATGCAGATTGCATCCTCAAGTATTTAATGGAGTCAAACTGAGAAAATGCCTTCAGAAATTTGGGGTTGAATGAAGAACGGGAATCTTGCAGCCAACTTTCCATTAAAATTAATGAGGAGAAACTTGAGACCCATAAGGTGCTGCCAGCTCCAAGGAAGGGCGTGACTTCTGGTGTCTTATTGAGTGTTATCCCACTGCATCCTGGCAGCTCTCACACTGTTTTCTACCTAGAAATACACCATATAGAGTTAAAATCAAGCTTAACACAGACAACAATATTGGTACAGTTGGTGGGACTGCGAAGTGGCAAAAAAAAAAAGCCAAATCACTTTTGATGCTTTATTTTACTTAAGTGGAACTTCGCAACTTCTACCTTTGTAGTTGCAAATTTTCAGTAGCTAACTTTGTTCATTATATCTGTCTGTCTCCCTGTCTGACTCCAGCACTGTTTCATTGCCTCTCATACCCTTCAGAGCTGCTGACTTTTGGAGATGCCAGGGGTGGCTGTTTTGCAGTGTGCCAGGGCACTCCTGCATGGTGCAGGCTGCTGGGCAGCACCACTCCCCAGAGGTGGTCCTGCAGAGGGTCCTGCAGAGGCTGGGTTCCTGCGGGACATCAGTACGAGTCAGCATCACCATATCGGGGAGCATCAGACCCATGCACAAAGCACCTGGGGACACTAATTAGCAACCCCACATGCACATTTTGGGCTGTATATAGGTTGTTTTTCTGCATCATGGGCTCAGTGTTGCCACACACTTGTGTTTTGCAGTATGCTCTATGTGGGGCACAAATTTTAACATCTTCAGGGGAGAACATCACAAAACTGGTCCCATGAAACGTTCAGAAGGTCTTCACTGCTCCCAAGCTCTTATTTTTGTTTGTAAATGTTTTAATATCAATGTAAAGTGCCTAAAGGACACTTATGAAAACAAACCATCTAACTCTGCGCCTAATACTAAAATATTCACATAGCGATTTGATTTTCTTTCATGTTGATATCATTGCCATAACTTACACAAAGTGGAGGAGGCTTCATGGGGGTCATATTGTTATAACTCTAACTTTTCTGTGCATGGAGCTAGAGCCTGGTTCCGGTTGATGTTACGTTTGTTCTTCAGCCCTGGGGCACATGGGAACAAGGGCCCATGGTTTTGGCTGTGGACCTGCACAGCAACAGCAGCTGCTCACAGCCAGGATGCTCTCACTGCTTAGCAGACTCTTGCCAGCTGATCCTTTACTCTTCTGTATGTGTTTGCTTAGGTACTCCATGGTCTTGGTTCTCCACAGAGCACTTAATCACGTAAGAAGCTTATTGCCACAAGCTGGGTGTATCCCACACAGCCACCAGTACACAGAGGCTCTTGCTGCTGAGGGGGATTAATGCCATTCAGAGAGGCTGATTTACAATATTTGGGGTGGTCAGAACATAAACATGATCATATTTATATTCTGGAGTGTTTTGCTTGTGGGTGTATGAGAAATTATTTGTTATATGATCACACCCATTATCATCCTGGGTGAATTTGAACAAGTGACCAAGAAGGAAACAGCTCCACATTTGCTGCCAGTCTCCCCACTCCTCTGTTCCCCATTCCAGCTCTCTCATTTCTACTTCTTCCATATTTATAAACAACACATAAGTTCCACGGGATTCACTTCTGATTTTTTTTTCACTTTAGACTTCTAGCTTGTGAGAATTTTTTTGGGGGGGGTTCTGCTTCTTTCTAAGTGGACCCTAAACTGCCCATGTGACTCATATGATATTTACTCAAGTGAACCTGGTTTCTAATTGAGCTGTGAGGAAGGAGGTGTTAAAATGGAGAGAGAAGTACCAGAATTCAGGACAATAACATGTTTACCTTGTAGAAAATAAAATGTACTTTTGAGAATAGCTTGCTTTTAGTGCCCTACTTCTTGAAAGCACAATTATTAGGAGTAACAGGAGTTTCTGAAGAAAATAGTTCCCTTTATTTCTCTAACTGCTGCACTT